TGAATGTGTTAGCCCATTGTTCGATATCTGGTATTTCTAGGAACATATGTTACAGAATTTAAGTAAATTTCTAAGACATGTTGGTCAAACGTTCCATTACTTTTCTTTATCTCACTGCATTTTGATGTAGTTCTATCTTCAGGTTTTAAAATTAGCAGTTAAGAAATCACGATTACTCATAAAAAGTATTTCTGAATCCACAGAGTTATGTAAATTTATCCACAGTATTTCTTTAAAGATAAAGTTTAAGGTTAATCATATCTTATATGGAAAATTGTCAAGTATCCAATATTTTTGCGGAAAAAGCGAATTGGAATATCAAAAATGCATTTTCTAATAGCAAATTGATCAACAAATACATGTATATTTTAGGTTAAAAAATGACAGGTATCCAGGCATTCAGAGAATTTTTCATGACTTTTATACATATTGTGTAGTTTTTTGTCTTTTATTTCCGTCTTGATTCCATAATACATAGTGTAAAGGATTTTTGCTATCATTGAAAGACACCACAAATCACGTTTTATTGCATATCATATTAATATACAATGCTATCTAAGGCTGGACGCAAGAAAATCTTATTTATCTAAACGTACTGTATTGATTTTTTCCCTTTTATAGGGTACAAATGTCAATTTTTATAAAACCCTTTCTAAGACTTCTAAAATACTTGAATCTTGCAAAGATGAATAAAATGAATATTGTTGCATGAAGAAATTTATTTTCAAGCTTCATTTTGATGCATTTCAAATTAAATATAATTTTTTGGAGATATCCTCCCTAGTTGATGATCAGATGTCCTTAAATTAAACCCATTCTTTAACAATTTTCAATTTTTATTCACAGGTAACACATCTACTATTGCATGTTAAATTGATATATATTAATTGTCTAAGATAATATGACCCCATTTTTACGTATTATAATTTCATGATAGGCTGGTACGTGTTCAGTAGATATCTCTTGTTCACCGATGCTTCTTTCATTTCTTTCACGCAGTTCAATCAAAATAAAGAAAAGAACGAAAAGCAAAAGAACACCTCCAAACACAAATGCAAGAACGCTTACATGTACAAAAAAATCGATTTTGGTTAAACTCGAAACCTTTCTCAATAATTGACGTTGTATCTGAAGTAAAAAAAAGAGTCTCTTAGAATATTCTCAAACAGAGTCTTCAGAATTTTAAACACAATTGTTCATAAATATGAAAACATGATAAATGATAAAAGAGTTCTATAAATGTATACATAAAGTCAGAAAATATCCAACCTTTTTAAACTTTTTAAAACATGCAGGTATATTGAATTAAGAAATAAAGTCCGTGTTTCGTGCATGTTGCAGGAGAACCTTCGAGGTCGAGAAATGTTGTTTAAACAATATATCATTTCAACATTTTGCTAAAATCGGTTTAAAGCGATCAAATCGACTAAATGCGACTGATCTTTTTCTTCTATAGAGAAATGAAATTGGTCACCATGTCTCGATTACGCTGTTTCATTTAACACCAGAGGGAAAATTTGTTTGCTAACTTGTGTATGGAATGAAGGTGATTTGAGCTTTCGTTGCATTAAAAAGAGCCTTTTTTATATTACAAAAAAAATTGTTCGGTATAAGTATTGATTAATTTTAATGAATATACAATAACAAAATCATGTTCCTGTTTTACTGCTCTATTGGGACTAAAATCACGTTGTTTAAATGTGTAGGGAGATCCGTGGAATAGCCCTGCTTAGCTATAAAAACCGACATTCATCTGCAACGTTATGAAATTTACAGTATTTATACTGCAAAAGACGACACATTGATATGGTATAAACAAGTATTTCATTCCACAGCCAAATATGCATTTGAATTGTTCAGATTTGATATGTGTTTCTGATCTGATAATATTTTGATGACATTCATGATTTATTGGAGAATAATGCCCGCGGCATTTATTTTGATTTCGGCAATAATCGTGGTAGAATTGCAAATAAGTTTCTTACATTTTAATTTTATTAAAAAAATATCCATTACAAGTGATCAGCTACATGGGTATTTCTGCTAAATTACCATCTCTTTATTTAATTTGTCTGTTACATGTAAATTACTCCTTGAACTGACTTCCAGAATTGCTCGTTTTTATCATCATTTCAGAATAGTAGAGGAGACCAACATAAAATAACGTCCACAGTTTGAATCTTACCGCATATTTCCGCCGAAATATGGCTGAAAATATTGCCGACTAGGTGTAAAGCACCAATTAATTAATCTTACCATTAGTTTTATTATTTAGTATAGAGCATCCAGTAGCATAGTTGCAGTCTTCTACAGAACAGTTGCATTTCTCTGTGCAAAGAACACCATATTGTGGAAATGGACACACTTCCACGCAATCAATACCAAAGTATCCTGGATTGCACAATGCAACACAATCTAAAAGGTTTCGTTTATCTCTTCATTATTAGAAGCTTGAAATAATAAAGAAAAGAATGATGCACCTTTATAAATGTAAAAATATACATTATACATTGCAGAATAGAAACATGATTATTTTTTACATCCATAAATCGTTACAAAATAATTTAAAGGGGATTTTTCGAAGTACTTAAACATAGTTTTTAAAGTCAATGACCAAATGGCAAATTGGTGGGTAATATATCATATATTTCTCTTTTATAAAAAACACATTCCTGAGTGTCCTTTTTATTCCAGTAATTACTGCAACATGTTACACCACTGCGTCTATATGAAAAAAAAAACATACTAAGTAGAGAGAGATCAATTCTAAAGTATATATTTAATTGTTTCAATGTATATTTTAATTGAAGAACCTATTTTTAATCTCTGTACTGATAGAAGAAACTTTTTTTAAAAAAGAACAATTGTTATAATATAACCTACCCATTACAAAGTAAACTTCTTGCTAAAATAAGATAAAAAATATGTTAAACATTTTGTTAATAGAAACCGTTTTTATGCATGAATGCTAAATTTATATTCACATCTTCTGTTTCATTAACATATTTGTTGAGCATGTCAAAAACAAATTGAAACATGATTTTTTTATTTTTGAATTTGATAAAAAAAATTGTCAAAACTTGTACACGTTTAAGATGAATAAAATATTAAATCTTTAAATTGATGAAAAAGAAATCAAAATTAATTTGAGAAAAAAACCAAAACAAATATATCTTTAATAGATTTAAGATTTTTTTTCTTACCAGAGTCTTCAGGAAAACATCCCCCCGCCATATGACAAAAGGCTGCTGAACAGCTACATTGATGCCTGCATGATAAGGACAGGCATTTGAGCAATTCTCTCCATAATACCCATTAACAATTAAATGGATATCTCTTGGAAATAATGCTCCTATAATTTTACGAGATAATCTAACTGGCTTAATCAAGCATTTGTCGATTTCATGTGAGTGCCAATAACCCGTGCAACATTTTTTCTGGCCATCTTCACTATTAAAAATACAAAACAAATTTAAACAAAAAAAAAGCAGGCGAAGATAAATAAACAAATAGAACGTTATATATTGCGTTATGAAATTTGAACTTCTCCGCTATAAAAGTCTCTTTCGTGTATTAAAATGAAATCTTACCTTTCACAATTCTGACTCAAATTTGATGGACCCACCAAAGACAGAATAAATGATAAAAGACAGATGTGTTTCCCATTTGAAATCAATACAAACATGAGTTTCTGCATATCTTGTGGCTCATTTAATCTCCTGAACAATTACATTTTTTTTTCTTTGTTGAAATATTTCCTTTTATTTTTCACATTGATAAGTACATATTATGTAATTAATAATTATGAACACAAATAAAAAATATTCAAATCATATGCATTTAAAACATTTAAATAAAAACCAGGATGTGTGTCTTTTTTCGACAATGTTAAATATAATTTAAAACTAAATAGTTTTCCTAAAATATACATGTAACTTCCTTAACAAAAATATTTCTCGATGTATGTTACTTGGAATTCTATTAATAACAAGAGACAAATAAGTTGATAAAAAGTTATATACCAAGACTTGCGATCAATGCCAACGGTTTACGAATTCTTTTTCGGTATATTTTATATGACCTTGTCAGCAAATGAATACAACAAGTATTATTAAATTTTTTAAACTATAATTGAGACATGTAGATCGTAATGTATATGCATAATTTTCTACGGATTTTTTCCGAGTGCCTGACAATGGCAAGGAGCAAAAGGCATATGTTATAATTAATGGTTGATTCTTTCATGTCATCTGATCTCGCATTTATTGTATTTGATGATTTTCGAAAAGATTCTTTACATCGAGATGTCTAATAAAATCGTACTTTCGCGAGGGCATACACTGCATAGATCTGAACCATTTTTTGAATATAGACAAAGGATATTTTCCTTAACTTGAAAAGTGCTGCTGCTTTCTTTAAATCGAGGGCACTCTGTTGAATATGATTGCATACATTATCTCTACTAAGTACAATAATTTCCTTTTGATTTTTAAAGATACATGTTCATATTTAAACACATATGTCAATTGATTAAAATTGTATTGCAAAATAAAAATTAATATTAATCGATGCTTTCGATTTTTGTACATGCACCCAACGCAGCTTATTTACAACACTAGGTTTTTTTTTTTCAAGCATTTGTAGGATTTCCTGAAATCATTTAGCACACAGCGTGTGTGACCGAACAGCAAGGGATGTTCAATCCTACAGAGCGCCTGATCTCACCTCTGATGTTTCGGAGGTCTGTATTTGCTCTGCTCCTATTTTGTATCGGCTATGGAATTTGAGATTGAAAACCTTCATATCCTTCTTGAAATAGCTATAACATAGATAGTTTTGTCTGTAAAATACTTTCTGGGCATTTGTTTAACCTACACATCAGTGGTTAAGTGACTATTTTATTTTTGTTCTAGAATTCAAATAACATGTTTGTGTAAGACTTTTTTAATGTATTTTTCTAATAACTGGAGTCAGATACAATAATTCTTTTTTGTCATCTTTTTAACCTCCTTTTTCTCGAAATTTCGCGTATCATTATTAACAAATTCTCTAATTCCTTTCTTGCTATTTTCTGCATGGGTCACATTATATTTTAACACGGATGCTCTTCATTGATTTGAATTTACTCATACGCTGGTGCATTTTCAGTAAATATTTGTTGTTCAACGACACTTTGTCTTGTCCTTCGACGCAATTCAATCAAAAGAAAGAGCAGAACAAAAACAATAAGAATACCACCGTAGACAAACACACCTATGCGAAGATTTAGACGTTTCCGGTTAAAAGTGTCACGTTTCTCACTGGGAGACGTTGTCCCTGCAAGATGATAATTCCACACCTTCGGAATTCCTTTTTATGTTTGATATTTTGCTATACTTTTGCTTTACTTTTCTTGAACAATACAGTGATATTTTGATTTTTTTCTAGCAAAGTGACATGATGCTTCAGCTATAGTGTTTAGTAGATAACTTACGTCTTAAATGCATGTTTTGAAAGTTCTCTGGTTTTGCAATATTTATAACGAATTAAAAATAAAGCAAATCCTGCCGTACAATTAATAACTGCATGTATTGAATATCTATTTACAATTTAAAATATGTTATAATTCCATTTGATATAAATGAATATTGTTTTTCTAATTCTTACATTTCGGGTAAGGTTAAAAATCCCCGATTAACATATTAGTTTGTCATAAAAATGGTAGCTTCCTTTAGATTTGGTCGTTTCTGAGTTTGAAAACTATTTAAGGAATAATGAGTTGGATATTTTTGTTAATATATCATTTGAAAATCCATTTATTATTTCTAATTGCATTGACTATAAGGCTTATCTACTAACATTTTCTGATCATTTCTATATGCATGCATAAGATATTTTCAACATCAAATAACAAGTACCTTAACCTTAGTTTACTCATACCATTAGTTTCAATTTGTAGCACTGGGCATCCTGTAGCGTAGTGGCAGTCGTCTACAGAGCAGTTGCATTTTTTAACACAAACTACTCCGTAAAATGGAAATGGACACAGCTCTGTACAGTTGTTACCAAAATATCCTTGATTGCACGCTTCATTAAAATAAAAAAAATCTAAACTCCTTTTAACTCGTAATTTAAACCAAATAAAGCAATAGACGGACGCATATAACAGCAAATTGTACGCAAATAACGTATCATACCTTATATATTTAACAAAAGAGACACATTTCATGTTTTGAGTAAATTAATCAAAAATATAGGTTTTATCCAATCAATTACCAACACATTCATTACTGTCCTCTTTATACCAATAATTAGTCGAACACCTTGAACCCTTGTTTCTGTATAAAATAAATGTAAAAAAAGAATAATTCTGCATTAAAAAGCGCATAAAAAGCACAGAATATAAGACCAGGAAATCCATTTATGAAATATTGATAGCATAGAGCTTACCTAGTGCTAACTCTTCTTCCTGCTGAAAGGAATTGAGAAATATGTTCATGGTGGAAAATGTACTCTTTTTTGCGCACAGAGATGGTTTTGATGAAACATCGATGCTCCCATATGGTAAATTACAGTACAGGGAATCAGCATCAGATTAAGCAAAGTAAGCATTAGCATCTACATTGTAGTTGGCATAGGGATAAGCATTTGTATAAACCAATAACCAACAGCACCATCATGCATTTCAAACAAAACAAAGGCTGAACCACTATTGAAATGACGTTCACCAATGAAATAATTATTTCTATGTAGTGGTCGTTAATTCAATAGTGGTTGCAGCACTTCCTGATCTAATTATACAACAGCATCAAGATAAGGATTACTGGCATTAAATCAATAATAAAAGGAAACATACAAATCAGCATAGATACTGTAACAATATTAGTTTCCTACAATTTACGGCGGGGCTTTAAGTTTTCAAAAGCAAGTTTAACTTAAATGTCAAGACCAAAAGGTTAAAATGTATGGTATCCAAAGAAATGACTTGTCGGAATTAATACATATGTTTAATATTTGAGACCTTATGCTAACTGTTCTAAAGTTATTGCCATGGGTTTAAATTCTTTAAATGTTAGTCAAACGTTGAGGTCAAGGTCAAAAGGTCAAAATTATTTATACCCATAAAAGGATCTTACCACAATGAATACACATCTATAGTATGAAAGCCCTACTACCAACTGTTTGAAATTTATGGCCACGTGAAAAATTGGTAGTTTTGTGAAAGTCGGTCAAATTCTTTGGTCAAGGTAAAGAGGTCAAATTAAGTTGAACCCAAGGAAATTTCTTTTCATGAGAAATACAACTCATATATAAAATCCATGGCCCCATCTACTCAAATATCGACAGTATTTGAGTTTTTGCGGACAGAGAAACAGAAAGATTCACTGATAGACAGGCAGACAGACGGTCAGAAGAAAAACTATACATCCAGAAATTTTCGGTTATGAGAGAAAAAATGCATCAAAATCAATATTTGTATTTTCTTTCATTTGTTTGTAAATTGAAAAAAAAATCCCTGTCAAGTGTTTTGGAAACACAGTAAAAAAGTGAGAACCGGGTATATAATTACAACTTTTAATAACCTAAAAATAACAATCTCTTAAAAATAAATCACAATTTCATTTCAGCTATTCTTTTATAATTGGATTTCAATACTCATCTTTTGCTTACCTGAGCCTTCGGGATAGCATCCCTTGGTCGGATGACAATAAGCTGACGTGCAGTTACATTTAAATCTGCAGAGCTCTCCAAAGTTTGGATATGGACATACCATTGAACAATTTCTACCGTAGTACCCATCTTGACATTCTGAAGCGAAGACGTTCCCCAAATGTATCTATTACTATATATTATATAATTATGCAGTGTACATGTTTGTATTTGAAGATAACAATCTTACATACTAAAAAATTCATTTTATTGACCTACTTAAACATTGGTTAAAATTAGGGTCATACCAATAACCCATGCAACATTTATTCGGATCTTCTTTGCTAAAAATAAAAAAAAAATAAAAAATGTATTAATAATAGTTATACAGTAATTTTTTTTTTAATTCGAACACGGATATTGCAAGATTATGGATAAAACGATCTTGGATCTTATATAAAAAATCCTTATACATTGATATTACGCATATAACGAATAAGGGATACAGCGAAACAGTTTCATAGGTCCCAGTGGCTTCGTTATAACCGTGATTTACTGTATATATGCGTTATATATTTGATATTTTTCAATAAGATATTGACGTAAGTTATAAAAAAATAAAATAAAATCTTACCTTGAACAATTCTGACTCCAACTTGACAACACCACTGAACTTAGAATTAACAATGAATATTGAATGCATTTGCGTTCTGGAGACGTTAAAGACTTGGGTTTATGCATTCTCTATGCAGTATTCAAACCCCTAAATGAAAGTAGATCTCCTATTTTGTATTTCCTACGAATTTTCAAAATGTTTATTCATCAAGAAAGATATCATACATTCCATATCAATTGCACATTGAAAATCATGAATATAGCACTCCTCACTTGTTTTCATTAAATTAAATAAGGACATAATAAATTTATACGACATAGCGGGAAAAAATATCACTAAAATTAACAAGAATACTCCAATAATTGAAACATAATAGAGCTGGCGATGAATGTAACATATATTTAGCAATGGGGCAATGAATCATTGACATAACATCTAGTGACTCAAAAACGAATGGCTTTCATTTAATGTACGATTCAAATTCTCTGTCTCTCTCCCTCTATCTCTCTCTCTGCCTCTCTCTTTCTCTGTTCAGTATTACTATTAAAGTTTATAAAGAATCACAGAAAAAAAAATATTTTACTGCCACTTTATTAAATGAGCTATGTCATCACCTGTACCTGATAGACTGCCACATCCATTACCCTATAAATAACACTATTTAAGGTTTAAGCCTGGTACGTGTCTCACTATAGCGCCACATTGGTTTATATATCAAAGGAAGAGAAGAAAAGAGGACAGAACAGACCAGGAAATTACAATCTCTGAAATTTAGGCGGTGTTTTTCAGACTCAAATATTGAGGTCTTTGGTTATCTGCATTCAAATCTGTTTAATCCTGCATTTACTAACTCAATTTTAAACACGACTTTTTTCTCTTTTTATCAATGTCTCATTCCAGAATTTGTTTCATGAGGATTTATTTTGTTTTCTATGGAAACACAGGAAACATTGTTTAAAGCAGGCGTATACAATTTGTCTTCATTTCAATCTAAATCAAAATTATTTTTGTTGTAGCCAACTGTGTATAAATGTAGATCAATTGCATGAAGCTGTTATTTAATTTTCTGGATCACCACACTCTTGGTTTAGACTGATATTCTTCATACCAAATTTTACGCCTTTGTTTTTATTCTAAATTTTATTTATTTGACTGCCGTCACGAGAAAAGGGCCCTTACGGTCAAATTTTCATAAATTGACTTTTAGGTGAATTTTGATAGCCGGACTCTTTCTGAATGCAAATATACATAAACTTTGAAAATATCTAACTTTTTCAGTATTTTATGAGCATTTTAGTGAGGCGCTCAAAAAAAAAACAACTTTGACGTTACTCACTGAAAGGTAATGACGTCGCCTGCGTCTAATTCATTTTTCAGAAATTCTTAAAATTACGTTATTTAAATAACCTCAATCGTTTTGAGAATTAAAAACTTGAGAAAGTATTTAAGTTGTTTTCTTCAAAGTGACTAGTATGTAAATATTCCTAAGGAATTTCGCATGTTATTACTATGCTTATACTATTTTAGAGCAGATCTAGTTATTTCGTAGAAAGGGGGGGGGGGTCTAGACAGAATCTAGGAATAGTTTATACATGTAACATAATCAGTAGGGAAATAATATTTGTTTAAATCCATACAAATTATTCTTTTTATATAAAATAATCTAATTCAATTTATAAAATATATAAAGCACTCGGACACTTAAAGATTAAAGGAAATATATACCGAGAGAGAGAGAATCCCATGCAGATTGGCACCGCGCGAAAAACGGGGCACCCCCTCGCGAAAAGCACATCGATCCCGATATTAAAAATTCATATGAGTCAGCATTCACTAACCAACACACACGCACGTAACTTTATTCCCTATAACTGTTACAATAGGATGAAAAACACCATGTATTTTCTGTATCATTGATAAAATTCAATTGGAAAAAATCAGATACGCCAAGATATGTAAAGTTGTTTTTAAAGACGTGTATTCCGTTTATAAAAATTCATGAATTAAAATATATTATACGTTCGCTACTTCCATGCAAGAGGATTTTAAAACTTTTACTTTTTTGAATATTTTATTTAAAATTCTTAAAGCTCTAAGGTTCCATTGTTTAAACAATTTATTTTTTCACTTAGTTTTGGAGTAAAAACATTAGTAAATAGGCAAATACTAGTAAAGGATTCTCTTATGAATGGTTTATATACATGTACCGTACCTTAAGTTGAAACTTTCTTTGAATATATACCTCAAATTGAAACAGTCTTTTAAATTCTTACTTTTTTAAAAGTATACCACAATTAAAATCAGTTATAAATATTTCTGAACCTTAATTTTTTTTTAATTTTGGGACACCTGTACCCTGTTTAACCTGAACACAACATTTGTATTACTATATTTTTTTCCAAGGGCCGCTACTATGATTTGAAAAAAAGATTTATGTATATTGTATGATATAATCAAAAGGGAATATGAATTGTGCTGTTCTTGTCTCTTTCTTATATATGCACACATAAACGCCAAGCTTGACTTTTCTTAGCTGCAGATCTGTAACGTTATGGTTTTACATACATGTAGGCCCTATTTGTTTTTGAACATGGTCAAAGACAAATACCGGTATGTAAAACCATAACGCTACAGATATGCAGCTAGACTTTTCTATGCGAAATTACAGTTCCATTAAAATTTTGACGAAATCTATTTGGAACTACGGAAGCCCAATAGTGCAAACAAAAAATATATAAAGAAAAACGGAATTAATATATAAAGGAAAACCAAAAATATATAAAGGAAAACCAAAAATATATAAAGGAAAATCAAAAATATATAAAGGAAAACCAAAAATGTATAAAGAAAAACGGAATTAATATATAAAGAAAAACGGAATTAATATAAAGAAAAACGAAATTAATATATAAAGAAAAACGAAATTAATTTATAAAGAAAACGGAATTAATATATAAAGAAAAACAGAATTGATATATAAAGAAAAACGAAGTTATTTAATAAAGATAAACGTAATTATTAAATAAAAAGAAGAGTGAGGGAGAAAGAGAAAACATCAACTGAAACAAATACTTCAATTTAATGTTTGAAGTAAATTGTCAATAATTGTTCAGCGGTATACGTAATTTGTTGATGTGTAGCATTATGCATAGAGGATCATGAGGGTGGATGTTTCTGCTTGATTGAAATCAATGACATCCAATTCAAATCGCTTGAATCGCTGAAAGGTCAAGACCTTGCTTATCGTATTAAAAAATTCCCTCCGGAATAAGCCTAGCGCCCCATCTGTATATTCATAAATCACGGGTTGTTGAAACAAAAACGAGGATGATTTGATTACTTCGTGACTATTTTTACTTCTACATTCCCCTCATTTCATAAGGACGTAGCAATACAAGAACACATTTCTAAAATGGCATTTTGTTCTTCTTGTGGACATTTCTAAAATTCTTCGTCCAGCATGTCCCTGTCTGGCGCTGAAGACACACTCACTGTGGAATGAACCACGCGTGACTGGAACCCTTATCCTCGCGTTTTGTTTTGTTAAACTTATCAACGATGCTATCTTAACTTAATAATTTCGTTTTTAGCTCACCTGAGCTTTTCTGATCACATTTTGTCTGTCGTCTGTCTGTCCGTCTGTAAACTTTTCACATTTTCGACTTCTTCTCATCAACCGCTGGGCCAATTTCAACCAAACTTGCCATAAAGCATCCCTGGGTAAAGGGGATTCAAGTTTCTTCAAATGAAGGGCCACGCCCTCATTCAAGGGGAGATAATTGGGAATTAATGAAAATTTGATGGTATGTTTTAAAAATCTTCTCAAGAACCACTGTGTCAGGAAAGATGAAACTTATGTGGAAACATCCTCAGGTAGTGTAGATTTAAGTTTGTTAAAATTATGACCCCTGGGGTAGGGCGGGGCCAAAATGGCCGACCAAAGTTTTACATAGAAATATATGGGAAAATTCTTTAAAAATCTTCTTCTCAAGAATAGCAAAGCTATAATTGATCATCTTTATATGGAAGCATCTTCAGGTAGTGTAGATTCAAATTTGTTCAAATCATGACCCCCTGGGGTAGGACGGGGCCACAATGGCCGACCAAAGTTTTACTTAGAAATATATAGGAAAATTCTTTAAAAATCTTCTTCTCAAGAATAGCAAAGTTATAATTGATCATATTTATATGGAAGCATCTTCAGGTAGTGTAGATTTAAGTTTGTTCAAATCATGCCCCCCGGGGGTAGGGCGGGGCCACAATGGCCGACCAAAGTTTTACATAGAAATATATAGGAATTTTTAAAAAAAAAAAATCTTTTTCTTATGAATTACAAAGCCATAATTGGTTATATTTATATGAAAGCATCCTCAGCTTGTGCAGTCTCAGGTTTGTACAAATCATGACCCTGGGATGGGGGGGGGGAAGCCACAATGACCAATAAAGTTTTACATAGACATATATAGGAACATTCTTTTAAAATGTATGTTCTAAATAGTACTAAAGCCATGATTGGTCATTGGATTGCTTTTGGATTTAAACTTTTTAATAATAAACCAATTTCTATACTTTTTCCTAGCCACAGTGCTCAGGTGAGCGATTGGGCCCATGGGCCTCTTGTTCTTTATTTAATGATTTTGTTTTTCTTTATTTAATAATTTCGTTTTTCTTCATTTAATAATTTCGTTTTTCCTTTACTTAATAATTTCGTTTTTTCTTTACTTAATAATTTCGTTTTTTCTTTATTTAATAATTTCGTTTTTTCTTTATTTATTTCTGGTTTGCACTATTGGACTTTGTAGAAGCCCATTAGAGCTCAGCTAGAAGGTCACGACCTTGCGTATCGTATTACTGGATTCCCACGAACTAAACCTAGCGTCCGAATCTGTGTACCCATAAATCTTAGATTGTTGAAACTATAAGAAAAATGATTTCATTACTTTGTGGGATTTGTTATTTACAAGTGTGTGCATTGTCACCGACTTATAAATACACAAATTGAGAGTTTGTCATTTAAAATATATGAGAGCAAGAACTATAGTACCACTGACTCATAAATAGTACATATTGAGAGTTGGACATTTATAATATGTGAGAGCAAGTACTTAGTAGCCAGTACATCACCTCTAATTATGCGTTGATAAGATCAAAGAATCAACTGAAGGTGATTTGCTTTATTTCTAATATTAATAGTAAACAATCATAAAAATCTACTTGTAACCACTTTGACTTGTTTTACTTTT